TGTCTAGGGAGTCCCCTTTTGTATAACTCTAACCTCTTAAATCCCTTTTTTGTCTACATATCCCCTTCTCAATTAATGAAATGTGACTTGACGATTTTACCCTTTCTCTTATTTATTTTAATTAATTATTTTCTGAAATGAAAAAAAAAAAAAAAAATCGAAAACAGGCGAAAAAAAAAAAAACGTGAGAACGCTCCTCTCAGCTCGAGCTCGAGCTCTCCTCGCCGGAAAATTCGATTTCAGTCGCCATTGCAGCCGTATCCTCTCCTCCGGCGAGCTGCGTCGAGATAGAGAGAAAAGGTATGTTGTTCGAGCGACATAGAGCTTCAAATTGAAGTTTTGGATTTAGAAATGTAGGAGATTCAATTCAATTAGATTTGGGTTATTGTGTTTGGGTATGTACATTGGAAGTTTATACATAGTTTCTGGGTCGAATAGGTCTGTAAATGGGTAAGAAATGGATTACAGCAACTGAATCATAGTGAATTGTAGTTTTGAACCCGAAACCATTCGATTTGAGTTCTTGTCGCGAAAGTACAACTGGTATAACTGGGTAGAAATGTACCTGAATCTATTGAAAAATATATATGTAGTATTACTAGTTATACTAGTATTACCCAGATGTATGTAGTATGACTAGTTATACTAGTATTACCCAGAATTGTAGTACAACTAGTACAACTAGTATAACTGACAGAGTTTTTGTAGGATAAAATGATGGAGAACGTGAACATATATTTTAAATGCAAAGGTCGCATGTATAGCTTGATGATGAATACATCAGGGGGGAAAATAACTCTCTCCATGTTAGAAGGTAGGATATGCACGAAGCTTGGATTAGATGAAAGTAAGGTTAAATTGCAAATGAGGTACAATGCAGTGCTAATGGGACCAATTGAAGAGATTTACATTAGTGATGATGAGGATGTAGGTGTCTATATATCTTCAGGTGAAAATAACCGTAGATATGTTTTGAATGTGGACGTCATCACTCCACCAAAATTGCCCGAGCAACTGTCGAGAGCGGAGCTCCTCAATAAAAGTTCTATTGGTAAGAACTATGCGGAATTAGATTCAAATGAGGATGAAATGACTGATAGTGCTGCCATCGTTTTGTGCGAATGCGATGAACAAGGAACAGAACGAAATGAGGCAATAATGGAGGTTGATGATACTCAAGATCCTGAGATTGGATCACGTGATGAATCTATGGATAGATGTGATGATAGGGGTGATGAATACTTTGAGCCCCCGCCTGTTGTAGAGCCTGGTCAGTTTAAAAAAGAATGGGAAGACGGTATTGGACTGATTTTACGACAAGAATTTCCAAGCAAGGCGGCATTGCATGAAGTGGTGGACAAAGGTGCATTTGCTAACAGTTTTGGTTATATTATTAAAAAGTCTGATAAGGAGCGGTATGTCCTAAGGTGTTCTAAAGAAAGTTGTGCTTGGCGTATACGAGCTTCAAATATTCGGAATACAAGTATTTACTCGATTAGAAAGTACAACAAGATGCATAATTGTACCCGGATAAGTAAGAGTAGTACAAAGATGAGGAAGAGGAAAGGTACCCCTGAATTAGTAGCAGCCCTTCTTCATGATACTTTTCCAGGACAAATGGAAACTCCAGTTCCTAAGGTTATCATGGAGCTTGTACAGACGAAATTAGGTGTGAATATATCGTACTCCACCGCATTGAGAGGGAAAAGGAAAGCCATTTGTGATTTAAAAGGTAGCGCGGAAGATAGCTACAAGGATATCAATTGTTATTTGTACATGTTGAAGAAGGTAAATGAAGGTACAATAACATATCTGAAATTGGATGAGGAAGATAAATTTCAGTACCTATTCATAGCTTTGGGTGCTAGCATTGAATCAAGTGATGAGGAAAGTGATAATTGTTGATGCAACACATTTGAAGAACGGATATGGTGGTGTTCTAGTATTTGCCTCAACTCAAGACCCAAATCGTCATCATTATATCATAGCGGTTGGCATACTCGACAGTGAGAATGATGCTAGTTGGGGATGGTTCTTCGAGAAGCTGCTAACAGTTGTACCCGATACTCCAGAATTGGTATTTATGAGTGACAGAAATTCAAGCCTCATCAAAGGCATACGTAATGTGTATTCTGCGGCTCATCACGGGTATTGTGTTTGGCATTTATCCCAAAATGTGAAAGGTCATGCCACTAACGTCAACAGAGACGTAGTCGCATGGAGATTCATGGAGTTAAGTCGGGTTTACACCATGGCTGAATTCGAGAGGGAGTACAGAACTTTTAAGCTAAGATATCCTTCTGCGGCCAATTATTTGGAGGATACAACCGTAAAAGAAAAATGGGCTAGGTGTTGTTTCAGAGGACATCGATACAATTTGGACACAAGCAACTGTGTGGAATCTTTGAATTCTGTTTTCCTCAATGCAAGGAAGTATTCTTTAATACCCATGCTTGATGCGATCATGTCCAAGATTTCTGTTTGGTTTAATGAACATCGGAAAGAAGCCGCGTCAGGATCTAATGAGAATAAGTTGGTGCCTTTAGTGGAGAACTACTTGCATGATTTATGGGTTGAAGCTGAGAAACTAAAAGTGACAGAGCTAAACACATTCCAGCTTGAATACAATGTCAAGGGTAGTGAAGGGAAAGAATATTTTGTCAACTTGCTCTTGAAAACTTGCAGTTGCAAGGTGTTCGATATCCAAAAGTATCCTTGTGTGCATGCACTAGCCGGTTTCATTGCCTTCGAGAACGATACAACAAGAACTCGAAGTATGGAAATACATGAATTGGTTTCAAAGTATTATTGGGCGGAGATGTGGGCATTGGCGTATTATAGGACTATTTATTTAGTCCCGGATAAGTCACAGTGGGATATCCCAGATGACATCAAAGCATTGAAGGTATTACCTCTGCCTCGGAAAAAGAAGAAGGGTAGAACAAAAGTGTTGAGGTTTCCATCCACAGGGGAAAGGCGTCCAAAACGTCAAAGGACTCAAAACAAAAGGAGGCCAAGGTAATCGCTGCAGTGGTTGTTATTTGGCAACCATAGTATTTGATTTCGTGTTTTTATGTATTCTCTGGTTTTGTAAAACTTGGTAAAACTTGGTTTCGTAATGGTACAACTATGTATGTCTTTGATTTCGTGTTTTTATGTATTCTCTGGTTTTGTAAAACTTGGTAAAACTTGGTTTCGTAATGGTACAACTATGTATGTCTTTGATTTCGTGTTTTTATGTATTCTCTGATTTTGTAAAACTTGGCTTCGTAATGGTACAACTATGTATGTCTTTGATTTCGTGTTTATATGTATTCTCTGGTTTTGTAAAACTTGGTTAAACTTGGTTTCGTAATGGTACAACTATGTATGTCTATGATTTAGTGTTTTTATGTATTCTCTGGTTTTGTAAAATTTGGTAAAACTTGGCTTCGTAATGGTACAACTATGTATGTCTTTGATTTCGTGTTTTTATGTATTCTCTGGTTTTGTAAAACTTGGTTAAACTTGGTTTGGTATAACTATGAAGAAATTAACAAATCTTCATAAATTCAAAATTATATCATGGTGAATGTCGAAAGTCTGAAAAATAGACAACTAGTGTTACATAATCAAATTAGTGGTTTGTAATCAAAATTTGGTAAATAAAATTTTCAAAAATCTTACGCATTTGAGCTTTCTACATGAAAGTTCTTATACTTTTAAGATGTCTTTCTTTTGAATATCCATGGTGAATGTCGAAAGTCTGAAAAATCAACATTTTATACATATTATTGAATGAATATGTTTGGAATTTACCACATATACATAAAATCATGTGTACAACTAATAAAAATTAATATTAATCCAAGAATAACTAATTATACAGAAAAACCCCAAAAGTCCAACTGTGTGTAACCGAGTACAACTTGTAAACTTGGAAAAACTGTGTATATTTGACGGCGCCATGTGTACAAATGACGGCGCCACGTGTACAAATGACGGCGCCATGCGGTTCACGTGTTATTTGCCCCAAATATCCAAAATTTTCTCTTTTCCCTCCAAAATACCCAAAATTTTCGAATTAACCCAATTTCTTTTATTTTTCCCCAAAAATCATTTCAACCCCTTTATTTTTATTACCCAGCATTTCCACGAAATCCCCCCAAATCCTCCCAATTACATCTCAATATCTCCAATTTATTATCCAAACCCACCAAATCCCTAAATCTTCTTTAACCCCAAACCCACCAAATCCCTAAATCTTCCATATAAGAAAGATGAGCGATGTCTCTTCCGCTCCGAGCTCGAGTGAAACCTCCTCAAACCGAACAAGAGTAAGAGTTGCTGGGATTCCAAAGAGGTGTAGGTGTGGCGACGAAATCGTTGAAAAAATCTCTAAATCAGTCCCAAATCCTTACCGACGCTACTACCGATGCAGATATGCTTCTGATAGAAACGTAAAAGTCTCATTGTTAGTTTGCGAATAATTTGAATAAGATCACGTTCTTTTAATTCTATTTTATTTTTTGAATGTAGCTTATGAACGATACCCATGTCTTCAAGTGGGTGGACGAGGCATTGGTAAATGAGGTAGAACAGTTGGATTTTCAAGTTAGTGTTCTTGAAGAAGAAGTTGCACTGCTAAAGATGGGGAGAAAGAAAGAGACGAAGGAAATTACTAAGATGATGGTACCCTTTATCGTTGGTTGTTTTCTCACAGTTGTTCTTGTAACTTGGTACAACTAAGGTACTACTTTGTAGTTCTACTTGTCTCAAAAATATGTATTTGGTGAATTCTAGTATTTGTATTTGTATGACTAAACATATTTATCCTAGTAATTCCTATCTATTCCTACCGAGTTTAACAAAAATAAAGCAGTTGTACACATTTAATAAAAATACCAATGAACAAACGTACATAATTTTACCTAGTTTAACAAAATAATGCAGTTGTATATTTTTATCGTTCACAGTTGTACCTAGTTTTACAAAATTATACCAAAATAAAACAATAACCATTTTGTTCACACAATTGTACTTAGTTTTTCAAAACCGACAGAGTTATACCAAAATAAAACAACAACCAAATTCATGTTCATGACAAAATAAAACATCTTAAAGAGTTTTCAAAAACAGTGGTGGACTCCAATACACAATGGTACTTAATTCTTCTTAGTCCTCGTCACAATAGGACTCCGATACACAACGGTGGTAGACCCCTTCTTTGCATTCTTCTTTATCAACTTCACCCTCTTAGTGTCCTCTTGCCTTGGTTCATCAACATTGTCATCCGCCTTTTTCCCTTGTTCTTTTGGATCCACTTCATTTTTGCTAATTCTTTTTCTCTTTTCACATCTCTTGTAAGTCCTTTTAAGTATCTTCTCATTGTTACTTGGCTCATCCTCTTTTCCACTCTCCTTCTCTTTCTCTCCAACCTCACTCCCCTTAGTACCACCATCCACAACACCCTCTTTTCCAATCTCCTTCTCTTTCTCTCCAACCTCACTCCCCTTAGTACCACCATCCACGTCACTCTCTTTTTCAATCTCCCCTCCTTCTCTGGCCTCAACCTCCTTAAGACCACCATCCACATCATCCTCTATTTCCATCTCCGACTCTATCTCATCATCTTCAGCCCCTTCTTTTTCCATCTCATTCTCCATCACTTTTTCACCACCTTCATTCTCCTTGGTTAAATCTTCAGAATTTGGTCCATCCTTACCACTCTCATCTTGAACTGCCTTCACTTGGTTTGCTCCAACCTCATCCTCTTTATCACTATAGTCAACCTCATCATTCCCTTCTAGATTTATCTCCGCCTCTTTCTCTTTAGCACCACCACTTTTAACTCTGACTTGGATTGATTGGATTGTTGCTTCCATAGTTTTGAGTCTTGTATCTTGGTCTTCATACTTCTTACTGAGATCCATCATCTTCTCATGCATATCCTTAAATCCATTCTCCAACGTTGTCTTCAACGTGTACACAATCTCAGCCAATCCATCACTACTTGCATCATTCGGAGGCTCAGTCACTTTCTCTTTCCCTTTCTTTCCCCGACGGCCTTTTCTTGTAGGCATAATCACAGCTTCCTCAAATCTTCGGTTGCCTACATCTTCATTGAATTTCTCTTCAAAACATATACTCCTTCCCTCATCAACTAGACGCTTGTGCCAACCATCAGCAACTACATCATCTTTATCATTCCATCCACGCTCAACATCCATAATGCTTTTCAAAAGTTTTTCCTCATCAGGAGATGGAGTCAAGATACTCTGAATGTCCTGTGCATCATAAAAAAATCTAATTAATACAACCTCCATGACACATAAATAATAAACATGTTATCTAGTTTGCATTTCAGATTTTAACTAACCTTAGTTGTACCGAGTTTGTCATACACATCTGACATAGGAAAGCCTTTCATAGTACTTGGTTTAAACTTCGTCTTGCACATCCGAGGACACTTAGGATCTGCTGATCCCACATCGACGCAAAAAGTGTTCTTCAGAACTGGAATTGACTCAAACGCTAGAAGCTGCAAAAAATAAAAGATCATTCAAAACTAAGTTGTATAACTGCTAAAATACTCTTACTTATACCAAGTTTATAAAAATTTAATAGAAGAATAATGCATACCTCCAGAGGCATAACGAAACTAGGAAACACTTTCTGTGGACCAACAACTCCTTCACATTTTTCCAGTATATAGAAGATGTCTTTCAGATTTTCATCAAATGCATATCTCCCCCACGGGAATGTTTCGCACAAGTCTAGATCAGCCACAACCCTTTGGAAAAACTTCTCCACAGTTGGTGCCTTCTCTCCTGTCTTAGTCTTTCCAACGATGATGCTGCTTAAGAAGTACAACACAGCTACTCTCAAACGATCATCAGAAGATCTCTTCATTGATAGGAACTTTCCCTCCACATCTTGATATTTTATTGTTGCTCCAACTCCAAATATCCTGCCAACAAACTCCATGCTGCCCTTGGTTTCATAGGACTTCGGAAATTGGTGACAATATAATCCTGACATGAGAGCAAATTCTTTGAGAGAATAGCGGATCGGAACCCCGTTGACGATAAACCAAACTTCGCGCTTCTTCTCTAAACATGCTGTGCGAAGAAATAACAGCCACATACCCATCAACTTATGATTTGCGTCCCTGTGCATGTGGAAGAAGTGTCGGAACTGTGGGTGTTCCTTAAACCATCTCAACTCCTTGCCTCTAAGATGAGTCTCCAATAAGCCCACTACCTTATGAATATAGCACTTTGCTGAAATCTTGAATGGCTTTGTATACTCACTCGGACTGAAATACATTTTAAAAGGTTGTAGAGCTTCGGTTTCCTCATTAGAATCCTGCAATCAATATGGACCAAGTTATACACAGTTGTACCTTTTAGTTTTATAACTTTCTAAGTTAGAAAAACAGAATAGTTATACCAAGTTATTCATAGTTTTACCTTTTAGTTTTAGATATTTCTAAGTTATAAAAGCAAAAGCAGCATAGTTATACCTAGTTATTCATAGTTTTACGTTTTAGTTTCAGATATTTCTAAGTTATAAAAGCAAATGCACGTTAGTTAAACCTAGTTATTCATAGTTTTACCTTTTAGTTTCAGATATTTATAAGTTATAAATGCACGTTAGTTATACCTAATTATCATAGTTTTACCTTTTAGTTTTAGAAATTACTAAGAGACACAAGCAACAAACTTATACCTAGTTCTGCTAGTTGTCCAAATTTTAGAGATCTTACCGTTGCAACCACGTTAGAGATTGAATCTGTTGCTTCAGATTCCACTACTGCCGGCGGTGGCACTTCTTCAAGATTGGCTTCTGGCGGAGTCTCCGTTAAAGATACATTTGCGTTCTTTGTTCGAGGCATAACTCCCTTCCACAAACCTACAAACAAAATCATTTAGATTAGTACTTCCATTCAATATTTCAATCGATTCTATTACCACTAACATTCTCCATCTCTTCGGATTTTATACAAACATAACGAACAATCGATTTTCACCGACTTTCACTCGATTTCAATCGATTTCAATCGCAAAACCCAAAATAAAAACTCGATTTTACCTTGCCCAATAACGTAGTTTTCTGTAGTTATACCAAGATCGACTCTGAAGAAATAGAAATAAATCGATCTGTAGTTATACCAAGATCGCCGTCGAAAGCAGATATTTCTCCCAAGGAATGAACCCTAAGTGTTTTCTTTTCCTCGTGTTTGGTTTTTACGATCTGAATTATTTTTGTTTAAGTGTTTTTACCCGTTTTAATTGGATTCAACCCAATAAGAAAGGGTTTGGGTATTTTCAACCCAATTAGCTTGGTTGGGTTTTGTAGTTTTCTTGTTTTGTCTGGGGTAAAGAGGTAATTACATTTAATTTGGATTTAAAATTAAATAAATATATATATCTGTTTTCTCGAGGGAGATATGGGATTTGTATTTGTCAAAAGGGGACTCCTGGGACGTTTTCTCCCTCCATACATGTCAGCCTCTGTTTCTCTTTCATGTTCTTGTATTCCTTTCAATTTTTAATTCCTTTGATTTTGTGGATTTATAATGTTACATTGTCTTCGATGTGATGGATGCTGTTACGGATAAAATTACACATCAAAGTTTTAACTTTATTATTAACCGCAAGTGGACATACAAACGTCGTAGTGTTTAGGGATCGAATCCACATAAACACACAAACAACTTGCAAATATCTAAACCTAGCTAGGACATCAAAGAGTTACAAGAACTCATGTGATTTTACAGAAATAAAATAAATAAATAATATAAAATGATAGAATATAATAATATAAGAATATTCACTACAAGAAATATGGGCATTCTTATCATACTGAAAACGTTGTTATATCGTTAACATAGCGCTTTCGTAAACGCTGTGTTTGCCGGAGCTATCTTAGAGTGGTCACGTACAATAGCGCTTTTTTGATATGCTATTGAATGTGTACGTATTATACCGCATTTCTGTTGTTATTATGTGATATATTGTGGCACATGTTTTTCGCTATTTTAATTTATTTAGTAGCAGTGATTTCTTGTAATGAAACAATTTATAGTAACATGTAGTTTTAGCTAATATTTAATCTATGGTTACAGAAATTAGTCGTAATATTATATTTACCAGTAGCACAATATATTTATAATAATTTTGTTTTATGTAGCTATGGTATTTGGCTAATCTCAATATATGATTTATTTCTTAGATCGCTTCATAACGCTATATATTTTTCTGAAATTTGGTGCTCATAATAATATACGATATGCATTTGCAATACAAACTGAACATTTTCATAAAAATATGTTATCAGACCATTACAACAACTGTCTTACAATAAACCACATAGCAATACCATCTGTTAAAGTACCAAGTCTCAAGTCTAAAGACTGAACAATGCAACACAAAAGAAATTAAACTAAAGAACAGGATGCTTCTTACACATTATACCAGCACCACTTTGTCAACTGGCCAAGCTATAGTCGAACCTAACGCATCTTCCATACACTCAACCGCAGAAGAAGGCCTCCAAACCGCTGCATCATCCACCTTGACTATATCTACCCAGACGCGGACTCCGTTATTGCCCAGAGGAGCAAAGTGAACTTTCAGGTCAGGATCATTTAAAAAAAATGTATGTATGAGTATAATTAAATCTCATTATAAGTATAGTATATGTATGAAATACCTTCTTCTAATAATGTGCGAAGCAAAGTAGTGTTATGAGAAGTAAGATATCTCATCATTCATGTACAATTGAACGATTGAACCGCTGGATATCTTTTGTTCTTCGCCTTGCCTTTCAAACGTTTAAAAAACCTTTCAAAAGAATACATCCACCTATATTGAACTGGATCGCCAAGCTCTGCTTATCTGATAGGTGTATAGGTAGGTGCTCCATCACATCAAAAAAAGAAGGTGGGAATATTTTTTCTAAATGCACAGGATCATGACAATATTCTCCTTTAAATTTTGGACGCGAATTAGCTCTAATGATCGACTACTTAAGTTACGGAAAAATGCTCCAAGCCCTACAATATAATTAGTCATATTAATTATGATATAGCCAACTTATATATATATATATATATATATATATATATATATATATAAAATTTATTTAAATATATTATTTGACAAAATTACCTGATAATGCAAGATGCACGTTACGCGGTAAGAGTTCTACAAACACGAACGGTAGCAATCGTTCCATGAAAAGATGGCTGTCGTGACTTTTCATTCCCGAAAACTTGCCGGCTTTGATATACAGATGCAAAACTAGCTAAATCTGCGACATAGCCATCTAGAAATTTGACCTCTGATTTGACCCATTCTAGGAGGCTTTTTTTTTTTGCTTTTGCCTTAATCTCAAAAAAGGAAATGGTGCTTTCCCTTGATCATCAACATGCAATTCTGGCCGGTCATAAAATCTTGACCTCACATTGTCTTTTGATATGTCTTTTACATTCATAACAATGTATATGATGTTATCGAGAACATTCTTCTCAATATGCATCACATCAAGATTGTGGCGTAGGGTTAAATCGACCTAGTATGGAAGTTGTGATAACATAGGATTTTCGCCCATATTTGTTATTGTTTTATGATGTTTTAGGAAGTGTTTGGTGTGATTTCAAGGCTAAAGAAGATATTCAAGTATTTATAGAGTCAAGAAGGTTTTAAGAGTTTCAAAGCAAAATGGACCAAAAGATGAGCAAAACCCGTTTTAGGACAGATTCGAAGCTCCAGAAGTTAGGCGTCCGTTGGAGGCCTTCCGGTGAAGAAAATTCGAATATCTTGGACTCTATGGAAAGCTGAAAGAATCAAGATTACAATGGAGGAAGAATGAACTCAATCCCAGCTGCAACAGCCGATTGAAGTCATCCTGTCAGAGACCGGTCGCAAGGTGTGCGACCGGTGGTAAAGCTCTTGGGTGCACCGGTCACAACCCAACGTGACCGGTGTGGACCTTCTTGGTGAGCCCGGTCATGGAGCCTCGTGACCTGTCTAAGCCGTCTTGTCTCTGCACTTATTAAAACTACGTAGTTTTGCCGAGAAAACCCAAAACCGACTTGTTACTTCCCGAGGCCTATAAATACAAGTTGTAAACCCTAAACCTAGGGTGTCTTCGACCTCCGTCACCAGTAGACGACCAGAGAAGCCTCCAAAGCTCCCTCACCGCCGTCCTCACCGATTGCAGCCGTTGAAGCCGCCGACCACCACAACACTTTCTCTTCTTCTTTTCTCTCTATTCTCTACTTGTTTAAGGGAGAAGATTCATCTACGTTGTATTCCAGAGAAGATCTCTGAACCCTTTTCATATTCATTCTCTTATTCATATGGTTTTGCTTTCTATGAGTATGTGTGAGTAGTTCTCTCATTGGGTTTAAGGGTTTTCGAAAGGGGATTCATGGATCGTTATTTAGGGTGATTGGATCTACGTTTTCTAGTTTATATATTGATCACCAATCTATGTTTACTTTGATGCTTACTGCTTGATTGACCGTCTAGCTACTGCAATTAGGATAGATTTAGATCGCCTAAAGTAATTTAGATCAGCAAAGCGTTATAACCAACCGAAAGTTGAGTTATAAAGCTTTGTGAACATATTGAATTTGGATTGTTTATGCATGTTTAGCATCTTGATTACCTGCGGAAATAGAGTAATTTAGGGTGTTTAGACATAGTTATTGGTGCTATGGGAGTAGACCAATCTCTTAATCAAAATTCTAGTTCCTGAACATAAATAACCGAAATTCCTAGTTTGATTTCCTAACATGATTCGATCCATGATACCCTAAGAATTCCCTGCAGCCCGACATTCGTTTTATTGATATCTCTTAATAGTTTACATTGCTTCTATTTTTAGTTTACTTTAGTTACAAAACCCAAAACCAAACCCCTCTTTTGATTTGTCTTAGACATATTCCTTCTTCATAAAACTCGTCATGTAACTTACTAGTCTCTGTGGGATCGATACCTTAAGTACTACAATTGATTTACTGTGCACTTGCAGCTTTATCGTTGTGTTCTTAGGATTAAAACCTGACACACATCAAGTTTTTGGCGCCGTTGCCGAGGACTAATTAAGTTTCCTACGAGTTTAGGATTAGGATATCTTCTAGGACGTTTTTCTTTGCTTCTTTAATTTTTTTTTCACTTTCTTTTCTAGTTTTACTTCTTTGTTTTTCTTTTCAGGTACTCTTGAATATGTACTCTTGAATAGGAACAAGCACTCATTGCACGAGGATAGATGGATCCGCAAGGTCGGATAATAGGAGAGTCTGACTTATTGGAAGCCCTCCTTGAAGATCGAAACCCCATCCGCCCTTCACCACCGCTCGGAGAGTTCGAGATCAGCCCGCAACTCATCGCTTTGGCCGAACGTCATCAGTTCCGTGGCTTAAATCAAGAGAATCCCCTAGATCATATCGAAAGATTTGAGGGAATCTGTAGTACGAAGAGATCAAATGGAGTCTCCGAAAACTACTTGAAGTGCACGCTATTCTCATTCTCTTTGGTTGAGAAAGCTCATAAATGGATGAAGTCTCTTCCCCCGGGATCAATCACTACTTGGGAAGAATATAAGCGAACTTTCTTCGAAACATTCTACCCAAGGACCCGATTAGATCACATGAAGAGAAAAATCTTGGAGTTTCAACAAAGGCCAAATGAACCATTCTACGAGGCCGTAGAAAGTTTCGAAGAGTACAAGAGAGATTGCCCTCACCATAAATTTGATGAAATAAATTTGTTTAGTATTTTCTATGCAGGACTTGGCGAGGAATTCAAGAGGACACTCGACGTTTCAAGTGAAGGAGATTTCACGACGAGAACTGCAGCCGGAGCTAGCAAACTCATTAGCAACATGGTTGTGAGCAGTAGAAACCGGTACCAGAAGTATGAGGAAGGTATCAAAGACGTCAATGCCAATTTGGAGTCAAAGCATACCCTTGATCAGAAACCGATGATTGTTGAACCTCCTAAGGGCCGACAAAGAGGAGTGTACCGATGTGATGACGTGGGAGATTATGATACTAATGACCACTGGAAGTGCAATACTAACGGTTCTCATGAGTATAAGAGGGAAGTCTACTACATTGACGGTCTAAGGGACGCACAACAAGGCAAGAACCATGGTGATCTCTCAAGAAGGCTGCATCAACTTGAAGAAGCGGTGGAGCAGATCATCCAGAACAACAAAAATCTTAGCTTTAAGATTGATGGCGTGTTCGACTACCTCGATAAATAGAATGAAATGGTGAAAACGACCCTTACTGGCCTATCTACTCATGTCAGGATGGTGGAAGTGCAAGATGCTCAAGTTGCAGAGGGTACAAAGAGACAAGTTAATGTTCTCCCGAGTAAAGCCGAGGAAAATCCAAGAG